GGTCTGCGAATAACATTGAATCATCGTTTCGTTTTTTGTCTTTGTGGTATCCTAATGTGATTGTTCATGTACACTAACCCTAGATGCTACTGGGTTTCCATTATATTGCCGTAGAATCTGAATGCCACTTTTGTTTTTCTCTGGTTGGTTAGATTGATTGTAGTGTTTAAATCAGCTTCTTTTTGGTTAAGGACTTGAGTTTGACTTGCTTGTTCTTCTTCTCTTGAACAGGTCTTTGTTAGGAAAAAAAAACAGGCAGTGATTGGTTAGTTCTGTGGTCTCAGAAATGGCAACTTATGTTTCTCCTTGTTTGACTCCTCCGGATTCTCGGGTGCTCACTGCTCTTAGGAAGAGTGTATTACCGGAAAATCATATAGGCAGCAGGGTTAGTTGCTTTAGAATGAGTGAAAGTAAGAGAAACCGCATTGTGGCTGCTCATAAGTCTGAGTCTTCGCCAATCAGAAGCTCTTCGAATTCTCATAGTCCAAACCATTACCAAAGCCAAGACTCTTTCTTGAACCTCCACCCAGAGATATCGTTGCTCAATCCAAGGAAAGAAACTTCCAGCGCTCCCATTACCGAGGATTTTGGCGAGCCATCTGCTTCGAGCACTTACAATGAGGCAAGGATAAAAGTTATCGGTGTTGGAGGTGGTGGGTCTAACGCTGTGAATCGCATGATAGAGAGTGAGATGGTTGGTGTGGAGTTTTGGATTGTGAATACCGATATTCAAGCAATGAGAATGTCTCCGGTTTTCCCAGACAATAAGTTACAGATTGGTAAGGAGTTGACTAGGGGTTTAGGTGCTGGAGGAAATCCAGAGATTGGAATGAATGCTGCTCGAGAAAGCAAAGAAGCTATCGAAGAAGCACTTTATGGTTCAGATATGGTTTTTGTCACAGTACGTCTATCACTATTCCTTTCAGTTCTTCTTAGTTATATAACTTTTATTAAACTTTGTTCTATAGAAAAATGTTGATTACAGATGAGAAGTTTTATGGGTTAGATCGCTGTTTACAATATCATGTCAATCCATTATATTGAATTTTGTTGTGTTTCGGTTTCGCTATTTTTTATCTTTCTTATCTCCACCTGGCTAAAGTACTGAGTCTCAGATCATGGAATACTTACCGGTGTAGATACCACTTACCATGGATCATTGTGTGAATTTGCTGCTGCTTCCATAGTTTTACCATAAGATCAAATTCTTTAAGTTCAGTGATTGAGCATTGTTGTTTCTGTAGGCTGGAATGGGTGGTGGAACTGGCACGGGCGGGGCTCCTATAATAGCAGGGGTTGCAAAAGCGATGGGTATATTGACGGTTGGTATTGTCACAACGCCTTTCTCCTTTGAGGGACGGAGAAGAACAGTCCAGGCTCAGGAAGGGATTGCATCCCTCAGAGATAATGTCGATACTCTTATTGTTATTCCAAATGACAAGTTACTCACAGCAGTCTCTCCGTCTACTCCAGTTACAGAAGCATTTAATCTGGCTGATGATATACTTCGTCAAGGAGTCCGTGGAATCTCTGATATCATTACGGTATGGCTTTGTAATGTGTTTATTCTTAATGGAATCATTGTCTACGAAAAATGTTTAACAGCTGTCTTTTTTCCTTGACTTGCAGATTCCTGGATTGGTCAATGTGGATTTTGCTGACGTTAGGGCTATAATGGCAAATGCAGGTTCTTCGTTGATGGGAATAGGAACTGCTACAGGTAAGAGTAGAGTGTTCGTTAGAGTTGAAACTTTTTGTAGATAGGCTCTATATGGTTTGAAGGAACTAGGAAGCTTAAGGAACCCGGTGACTAGTTTAGGTGACTTTATATGCATATGTTTGTTTACTAAAATACTAAGGTTTTACTGAGAATTGGTACTACGGATGTAGTTGAGTAGATTAATCAGACAATAGATTTGGTACTCTTTTACCGTGACAAAGGAACCAATCTAATAAATGTTTGTGGCATACTGAAATTACCGTATGATTCTCCATGTAACTCTGCTATATGTGCAGTGTGATATATTCAGGGAAATCCTAAAGTTGAACTATTTTGATGCAGTGTTCTGGTTGCATTCATCATCATGCTTACTCTTTCATACTATACTGTTATTTGAGCAGGAAAGACTCGAGCAAGAGATGCTGCATTAAACGCGATCCAATCACCTTTGTTAGACATTGGCATAGAGAGAGCCACTGGAATTGTTTGGAACATAACCGGTGGAACTGACTTAACACTGTTCGAGGTGTTTCTCCCTCTACGTTTTGCAGTCCATTTCCTGTCCTCGAAATCTCTCTGTTTATTTCCCTAGAAAATTTCAATACCGTGTCATTTATGCTCTATTTTGATTCTCGGGGAAACGATTTGTAGGTAAATGCTGCTGCGGAAGTGATTTATGACCTTGTTGATCCGACAGCCAATCTAATCTTTGGCGCTGTGGTAGATCCATCCTTTAGTGGTCAAGTAAGTATTCTTCTTTTTTGGTCTTTCTTCTCAGATGTAACCTCTTAGATACCCAAATTGCTTAATTCTTAAAATAACTTTTTTCTCCTGTCAGATAAGTATTACCCTAATAGCAACCGGCTTCAAACGCCAAGAAGAAGGAGAAGGGAGGCCACTTCAGGTATTCACTCATCTCCCTTGACACACACAAATAGTCTGATTCTTACATCAGAATGTTATAAGTATTCGATTGTGACACAGGCGACGCAAGCAGATGCATCAATGGGAGCAACAAGACGTCCTTCTTCATCCTTCACCGAAGGCAGTTCCATAGAGATTCCAGAGTTCTTGAGGAAGAAAGGCCGCTCTCGCTATCCTCGCCTCTAGACCCCACTTTGATCACTCTACATGAGATTGCTGGATTGGTGTGGGTAAGTAAATTGCCTGCCTCTCTGGTGATTCTTTATCAATAGGTATTAGAAATGAGTTTCTTGTTGTTTATATTACAACAATAATAATGTTTATTGACAGATGAAATATGTATCTCAGTCTCAGTCACACTGTCACACTTGTTCCAAGTGTTTGCCTTCTTCTAGTAATTGCAAATTGGATAAATTATATAGGTTTTAAAAAAAAAAAACTCTACTCTGTTTTGTACGTACCCTCCAATATAATTCATGAGCCCTTTGATTTTCATTTTGGTTACCATTTTCCAGTCTATATAATCAATTATCATGTTTATAAAATTACTTTTCAATGCGTTTGTTTGATTAACATAAAAACAGGCAAATCAATAATTCATCGCAACAAATTGTACATCTACACAAACAAATTATACATTTTATGATTGTGACTATGGTTTTGACTCTTTAAAATAATCACACGAGGTGCAAGATTTTTTACAAGAAAAATACGTAGTAGTAGAATCTTGTTTACACCATACTCATATATCAATACTCACAAAAAGTTTGAACACTACCATGAAAGAACATTTTCTCGAATTTGAACCATTCCCCATTACTAAATGGTCTTATCCAAACGACATTGAGTTTTAGTTATTGTTTTTTGGGTTATTGCACATAATTTCTCTTAATTATTCAATTATTTTGTTTTATTTTTGTTCTAAAAAGAAAATGTTCAAGATTGT